TCAAAGGGCCCTGTAACTTGTACAGGACACAACTTACTATTGCGCACAGTCAATCAGCTGGTATTCATTGGATCTCTCAAAGCATGCCTTCACTCCTTCATCGTCCCAAAGCTTTTTCACATGGTCAAAGAATTCCTAAAGTTTAAAAGAGTTACAAATTTAAAAAAAAATGTATAATCACCTTTTAAAACGTTAAAAGGAAAAAGAAACTGCAAAAACTTTTTTTTGCAAGTAGCATTCAGATTTTCCTTGTGGAAGTCTACATCGTAAAATGCACCAACTCTATGTTTAGTGTGATAAAAAATGCATGCATATTATCATTACTCAAGTCAAATTGCAAAATATATATTTTTTTTCTTGAGACAGAGTCTCGCTCTGTCACCCAGGCTGGAGTGCAGTGGCGCGATCTTGGCTCACCGCAACCTCTGCCTCCCAGGTTCAAGCGACTCTCCTGCCTCAGCCTCCTGAGAAGTTGGGATTATAGGCGCGTGCCACTGTGACTGGTTAATTTTTGTATCTTTAGTAGAGATGGGGCTTCACCATGTTGGCCAGGCTGGTCTCAAACTCCTGACCTCAAGTGATTCGCCTGCCTCGGCCTCCCAAAGTGTTGGGATTACAGGCGTGAGCCACCGCGCCTGGCTCAAAATAGTTTTATCATTCTGGAAAGTCCCCCAAAATGCAAATTATGTCAAAGTTAATATCATACATTAACTATAAATACAATTAACAGCATAATTCTAAAGTATTTAGTATTCAGTAACTTAACTTGTTGAACTGCCATCTCAGCCATGAAAAAGAATGCATACTATCAGGACAAGTTTTGTCTTAACTTCTGTCTTTTACGTTTTCTATGTGAGTTATGATTAGGAATGGACATGGTTGAGTAGATGGATTAAATTTGGCCCAGATGTATTAGGTACATAAAAAAGGAACTTTAAAAACCACACACTTTGGGGATGATAATTTATTTCTTTTTTCATTTAAAAAAGAAACTAGGAGTTAAGTGCGAATTGTGATTTTTCGTTCATTCCAGAGCCAAGAGGTCACTGTGCTCAACTTCACCTATTATTATGGCAAGTAAGATGCTCCGAAAGAATGTTTTTCATCTCAAAAGTAAATGAAAGACTTATGAATTCATATTGGTAATATCACCCAAAAGGGCGATGGAAGCAAATGACTACATTAGTAGCTAAACACAAAGGAGTTCTGTAAGTGTTCACAAAACACTTTGTGGGGACATTCACACCCTGCCCACGGCAGTTATTTGCCTGCCTTTGATCTTCAGGGTTCTCAGGCTCCATGGCCTGTCCCAGGGACTCCTCCTTCATGCTTATCAGCTGACACATTTCTAGGAATCCACACGGATTCTTTGCAGGAAAAACAGAAGGACTGGCACTTTTTCTTAACGACTCACAATTCCATACAAAGGTGGATCCAAGCACTGTGAGGGGTTTAATGCTCACAATTTGCAAGGCTCTCTTTGAAAAAAGAGATGCAAAATGATGAATACAAAATTAGGTATAAATCCTTGGAAGGGGAGTAGAAGTGAGGCATCCAGAGTGTAGGCTTTATTAGCGTTCAGAAAACCCAATTCTGATTTCACAGTCTCAGGGACGATCTTGTAAGTTATGGCATAGTCTGTATCTATATCTGTCCGTCACCATTATTGACAAACCCAAATGGTTCCCAGTTGACAAAAAAAGAGACATTCTCCCCCTGAAGGGGGTGGCTAAACCTCTCAGTTATCATCTTGTTTCCCTAGGTTTATGTTTCCTTCTGGAATCTTCCTCTGATGCTCCCATTAACCCAGTAAGGGAGTTTGTAGGCTTCCTTAAAAAATTTCCTTCGAAGAGCCATCCAAGTCCATACACTTACACTTCACACACACACGAGTAAAGATCAATCCTGCATTATGCTGTTATCAAGATGGCCATGGAGACAGTGACACCGCTGCCTCATGGTGATGGATCTTCCAGTTGCCAGCTCTGGGTACCTGATCTCTCTGGACACGACAGACGCGTAAGATACAAAAACTATAGACTCACGCTACATGAAAACAAATTTAACTGGATTTACTCAAACACAGGAACCACAGATACCAGATTTTAAAAAGGTTCACATAATAATTATTCACTATAATAGGTTTCCAAATGCAATTTAAAAAACGACCAAGACTGGAGTAATTCATCTAAACTTGGCCAAAAAAAAAAAGAAAAACAATATTGCTCCAGGCCCTGCAGGGCGGAAAGGGCTCCAAACCGCGTGGGGTGCGGTCGTGTGGTCACCCTACTACCCAACCAGCCATGGAAGTAAGCCCCACACGGTGCTGACCCCAGAGCTAACAGGCATGTGGCTAGAGGTCAGTGAGGGGGTTGAGAAATTGATCTTTTTTATTTTTAATATTTATTTTTTGAGACGTGGTCTCACTCTGCCCCGTCTCGCAAGCTGGAGTGCAGTGGTGCAATCTCGGTTCACTGCAGCCTCGACCTCCTGGGCTCAAGCAATCCTCCTGCCTCAGCCTCCCAAGTAGCTAGGACTACAGGCGCGTGCCACCACGCCCGGCTAATTTTTGTATTTTCCTAGAGACAGGGTTTTACCATGCTGCCCAAGCTGGTCTCCAACTCCTGGGCTCAAGTGTTCCTCTGCCCTCAGCCTCCCGAGCAGTGGGGACGACAGGTGTGTACCACAATATCCAGCTAATTTGTTCGTTTGTTTGTTTAGAGATTTAGCGGTGGTAGTGCAGGGTGGGGAGGGAGGTCTCACAATGTTGCCCAGGCTGGTCTCGAACTCTAGGCGCAAATGATTCCACAGGCGCGCACAGCACGCCCCGCCTGAGAACCCCGGTCTTGAGTAGAAGCCCGAAGCCGGCCTGTGGAAAGCCAGGCGCGCTGAGCCCCTGGGCCTCTCCGGAGCCGCCCTCGCCCCGCGCCTGCGCTGCCACATGCATCCGCGGCTCTGCACGCACAGGACCTCCTGGCAGGCGGAGGAGAAACTGAGGCTCCCATCAGACGCCCTTGCTTTTCGACTCACTTAGCACCCGAGAAACGGAGGCCCACGGAGGGCCGGCCATGGCCTGGGCGCGTTCTGGCCTCCGGGCCACGCTGGATGCCGGCCTGGTCTCGCCAGAGGGCGGATGTGCGCTGCAGGGAGGCGGGAGGTCTGTACTTCAGCCCATGGTGAGCTGGAAAGGGAGGGTATTCTAGCCCCGACGCATTTACTGGGCCCTGCTCAGGGACCTCCCGGCTCTCTCCTGCAGAAACATCAGCATCACCGCCCCACCTGCCTCTGCAAACAGCGCACCCCCGCAGCTCCCCAGCTTGGAGGCCCTGCCCAGCGGGGCTGGGATTCTCAGCGCCCCCAGGCCTCAGCTTCTTCCTTCAGGCTTGGCTCCTGCTGTTTTCTCATTTCCTTCGCAATACCCTTTCTCATTTTGCGTTAATTTCCTGCATGTCACAGTAAGGGCCTTACTCACATAATAACCCCTATTTAAAATAGTTCTTAGGTAGTTCTTATTTTGTCGAGGGTACTGTGCACACAGCACTTTATCACATGATCGTCTTTAACTCTCACAAAGCTGGAAGAGGTGGCTGTTATCACTGTGCTCAGTACTTTAACACATGATCGTCTTTAACTCTCACAAA